CAGCATAGTATCAAGAATGCACTTAAAATTTTTAGAAGATTTTCTGAAGGATCAAGCAGAACTCAAAGTTCTGAGAAACATCATTATTTCCACACATCAATGGTCAATCAAACTGATGGTTGAATATTTCATGGATAAAGAAGCTACAAAGGCAAAGGAATTAGATTTGAAAAATATCAAACAGGTGGCTTTATCTCGGAAATTCAAGTTTGGTTAAACTTAAAGGGAAAGGAAACAATCCACAATATTGTGTCCAAAGATTTGGTGGAAAGGCTGATAACAATCCATTAGCCTGATAACATACTTCAAGTTAATTATTGTACAGAACAGATTCTTCAAGGTAAATAGTTGTTTTCACTGTGGACAAACATATTCTGCATTTATTTGAAATCCATGTTCAAAATTAAATACACCAAACCAAGCTAATCTTGTGGTTGATTAATTTCCACATATACCAATAGAACAGAGATGTATCCACAGGTTTAGCATGAATTAGATATTGAATTAGAAAAAAATTGGTGTCGTTGGAGCTTCCTTGCACAGTTTTCTTCCCAGTTAAGGTTGCAACAAACTGACTTGAGGACAATACTACAGAAAGAATGTCCTCACCCAAAAGCCAAGTACGTTGAACATTGTACATTGCTTCCCAAAAATTGTAGACCTGATCTGTAAGTTTATAAAATCTCTCTCATCTGTGGTTCAACAGGATTTCACCTTACCACATCAAATTTAGCAAGCTAATGAGTTATTATTAGTCCGTTTTGTAAAATGATGCCTTTTAAGAGTTTGCCTGTTCTCAGGAGTTTCAGTATCATCTTTGCTCTTGCAACTTTGGCATTTGCAGACTTTTCATGGGTAACAGATCATTTATTCACATCTCTTGCACCCCACATATTACTTCTTTTGTGCTCATAAAATGCACATGTCTCTAGGAAGCCAATCACTTTGGATTGACCAACTTCAACATTGATTACTAAAACAAGAACAAAACAATATAATCTCTATTCTGATGGAATACCTCCAATGAGTTGAGTTTTGATCTTCTCTTCTTTGATCAACAAACAAAATAACAATTATTATCATTCTGAACATTTGGCTCATCTCATCATGCTACTCTCAACTGAAGTGCAGAGACTACGAACAACACCTATTGATTTAGACTGGATGATTGGTTCTACTTAATACTTACACAGGATTTGGATAGTAATATAAATCTAAGAGAGAGGCTTAGTTTGAAAAGCCTACGTGAAGACTATTTAGGGCTATCTGATCACCTCCAGTAGGGTTTCTGGCTATATTTCCTTCTTCAAAGTCTCTGCCAGGAGGAATTCAGAAGTGGATAGTGAGGTTGATACTGTTTGTACATGAGAGTTTCATTGCCTCTCTGGTCCTGAGCTTGGGCTGTGGACGTCACCATCCCATGGTTGGTACATACTTTGAATGGTGGTAGTGAAGACCTACAAAAGAGTATGACCCAAGCCCAAGCAGGTCCAGGTTGAAGAACCAGGGTCCCAGCAAACTGCCAACCAAGTACCGTCCCAGTCCAGTGCCAGAGGGTGGCGGGCCACCCACTTCCAGAGGGTGGCTGGCCCCTCAGTACCTTGTAACATTCAATCATTTGTACTCATACGGGACCCCATGCATTTTGAAAAGCTGACCTGGAAATCTATGATGTATCGCATGGTTTCAAGGAACGTAAGTAAGAATGCAAGTTGGATTGATTTTTGATGGAGCGCACTCACCCATGTTTTATTGAATGCTGAGAAGTGACCTGAGTGAGTTTCGTAGAGTTGGACGATTGGTGTTTACACTGCAAATATAATGTGTTTCTCCGAAGTGAAAAATGATTGCACTTAATGCACAAAATGATTAATGATGCAGATTTAATGCAGAAAAATGCAGATTTAATGTAGATTTAATGCACTTTTAACCATTTTTTGAATGAAATGTAATCATTTTTCACCGTGGAGAAACACATTATATTTGCAGTGTTAGGGATCAATGATGGTCACACAGCTTGCGGGTGTGAATTCTGAATGTGACAGGGCAGGTGACTGGTTGGTCTTGAAACGTCGACCCGGACCGTGTAGATCCCGTGGTTATTCCAGCTTGCTTTTTGATCATCAAGGCTAGGCCTTGTAATCCTGTGATACACATTGACTTATAACTGTCATGCATTCTTGATTTGTTTGAGCTTGTGAATGTTGAAGACTTGAAGTGATTTGGGGTTCCAATTCAACAAGTTTTAATGATACCTCACTCTCAGGGACAACGGACTCACTGAAAGTTGCCTGCGCTCATGTAGAAGGCTTTCATAAGGCTCTGTTAAGTTGTTTGTGAGGTTCTGGGAGGTTTGAAAGTCTTCAATGGGGTCTTCAAGCAAATGAACATGTGAGTTTCAATAGACCACTATGGCAAGTTTGGGTGTCTTCTCAAAACACATTTGAACTCATCCGAACTGGTCCAAAACTCATTAAACTCATTTAAAACTGGTACAAACTCATTCAAAACTCAATCAAAACTCATTCAAAACTCATTGGATCATGATGAAAGGCAGTCTGAAAACATTAAAAATAAAACACAATATTTGATTAAGATTAGGATAATTTACATTAGACTCATCAACGGTTAAACTTCATCTTCAGGTGTTGAGGCCCCATCAGGATTAACCCAGGTGTCAAGACCCTGTGTAACAGAAGAGCACCATTCTTCCCCAGTGACATCTTCCACTTCGAAACCAGCCATCTCACGATGGACTTGAGCGGAATAGAAAGAAGAAGAATTGAGGATATATGAGTTATGTTCAGAGTGATTAACTTCCCATCCTTTTTGCCTGATGACGCGCCGTTCAACCATCTGAGTCTTGGTTCGAAGAATTTCACAATCTCCATCATGACAGTTGTGTCAAGGGTGCCACTATACTATACTGGTATGAGTATAGTTGGGTATAGTATAGTTTAAATTGTACTATACTATACTCAGTATAGTATAGTTGAAACTATACTTTTCTTAACTATACTCAGTATAGTATCAATTGATCAACTACACATGGACAAGGGTT